AATTTAATTTTTCAATCAAGGCTACAGATAAAATGAATAGGTTTAAGAATAAAATATGAAACTATAATATTATTTTCTGAAACAAAAAATGCTCATTTAATTTTTGATTTTAAGTGATATCAGTAAAATAATTTGTGCKAAAAATATGATCAAATACAGATATTTCTAATGTCAATTACATTGATATTTGAAAAGAGTTATTTTAATATAATTACTTTTGAAGAGATATTAAAGTTGATGTTAAATTATCAACTTGGCTCTCTAAATTTATATTTTCTTTTTCAAAATTTTGATTAGATTTTGTTAGCTGATGAATAGCTTCAATTTGACTTCTTTCCATCTCTTCTTTTGCAACTAATGATTTTTTTATTCTTTCAACTTCTTGAGATAGCTTTTCTTGTTGGTCTCTAATAATGATGAGTGTATAAAAGTTTTAAACATTAATATCAATTGTTTGTTATGTTTTAAAAAATACTTACTTATATTTATTTATAGTTTTCAATGATTCTTTTTCAGCTACTCGAAGTTTTTTTATTATATTATTTAAATTAAGATGCTGTTTACTCAATTTTTCTCCTTCATCCCTCAGTTCTTTAATTAGAGAATCTTTATCTTCAATAAGAACTTTAAATTGGACAGCATTTTTATTCTGCTGTAAAAWATATATATATATATATAAAAGATCTTAACACAAAAATRTCAAATCATAATTACTAATGTTTATGCTTGTATTAAAAACTAAAAAGGGTCTTTTTCATTAAAGATTAAGAAAATGTATAATAATATTGAAACATTATCCAATGCATCATCTATTAAAATAGCTTTTAGAGTTTTCATTTTAAAAACGTACATCATAAATTCATAACAAATAATATGTGTTTAGGATAACTAAATTTGTGTACTTAGCTTTAAATTGATCTTTAATCAATTTTTCATTATCTGCATATGTACATTGGTACTATTATAATATTTAAATTTTTAATATCAAGTTATGGACATTTTTGAATAAACATGTTTTATTTTTTTTTAATTAGGCTTTTTTAGTTTAATAAAAAAATAATATAAATATATTTCAGTATAAGTTTTTCAATTCTTACATCAAGTTGTTTTTGTAACTGATCTTTTTCTCGAATTGCTTGTTGGAATTTTTTCTCCATTGTTGCTAATCTTTGAGTGTATTCTTCATTTAAGTTACTTGAATTTAAATAATCTAATTGGCTATAAGAAWAAATTTTAAAAAATTGAAGTAATGTAATAATATAATTTGTTGCCTCTGTCTTATAAGTGGGTAACATAGAAATTTACGCTCAACAGATCACACGTGGCTTCAATAGTTAAAAAATTAAAGAAAATTGACCTCTTCTTAAACTTGATGGTAAGAAAATTATCAGAGTTTGAATGTCAGTTTTTTATAATAATTCAGTTTTTAGGTAAACGCTTTTAATTTATGCTATATTATACACACAAAACATGCTAAAAAATTGAACCATCTTAAGATACCGACATACAAACACAGTWAATACTCATACCATCATGTTCCATAAGAGTTCAATTTAATTTAATGTTTAAGATAATGAACTACTCATGATCTGCTGAGCGTCAATTTGCTATGTTACATTCTTTTAATAAATATTACCTTTTCATTTCTGAATTATTCGCTGCTAATTCAGCATTCTTTTTACTTAAATCAATTAATTTTGACTCTCTGGATTTAACCGTAGAGTTCAATTCAACAATTTTCTGAAAATTATTTTTGTTATTAAATACTTATTAGAAAACAAGTTTTACAATTTAAATACTTTTAAAAGATCTTCGAAGTCTTTTGGTCCATGTTGTAGTCCTATATAAAAAAATCAAAAATACCTACATTTTAATATAATTTTAATCATTATACCAATAATAATAATAATAATATAATGAACATAATTTTTGTTTCTACGATTGATAGTATATTTATAAAAGAATAATTTTCATACCAGACAAAAATGAAGGTATATGATCTGGATGATACTTTACTGGACTATGTCGATGAGATGCATTACTTTCACTGTCATCATTAGTTGCAGGACTAGATATTACTTCTATATCAGATGAAGTCCATGTTTCAAGTTCATCACAAGAATTTGTTTCGCTTGAACCAATTTTTACGAAATCTGAATGACTAAATATAATATAATATAAATTTACTAAATACAAAATTTATGTTTGAAACAATGTCRAAAAAATTGTTATTCTAAGCTAAACAATTTATACCATGCAGTATTGGTTTTAAATATTTTTATTTTTATTTACAATCATTAGTAATTGACAATTGTAATATAGAATTTTAAATTATAGTATTTAACCAAGGGCGCACCCAAGGGGGTGGCTAACGGGCTTTAGCCACCCCCCCCCCAAATGGCTAGCCCCAAAATAAAAAACAATCACATATTTATGTTTTACAGGTATAACACCACCACTACGGCGCAACTTAGAACCGGAACAAAAAAACAAAATTAGTTAGTAAAAGATTGTAAACAAGCTTTAAGATTTCTGTACATATTTCAAAATAAATACTACCT